GCTCCATTATCAATCACGAGATAGACAGGCGGGCATTGATTCGCGCGGGCAAGCTCCCAGCAGATGATCCACCTCGTGGGCCTGATGCTCTGGACTGGTATCGCGAGACCGCTGAAGCCCGTAATAACTTGACCTTTGACCAGTCTTGTGCGCAGGTTGGATTGGCGCTGGCGGCTATTCATACCACGTCTAACCTGTTAACTAACGTCATGTATGACCTCGCGGCGTACCCGGAGTATATCCAGCCGCTGCGTGATGAGATTCGGGTGGTTGCTGCCGAAGATGGAGTTCTGAAGAAGACGAGTTTGCTCAAGTTGAAGTTGATGGACAGTGTGATGAAGGAATCGCAGCGTACTAATCCACTCTCATTGAGTAAGTCATCCAGGTTCTTTCGATCCTCTTTCGATTTAAACCTCTTATTGACACCCCAATAGCTTCCATGAATCGCCTCGCCCTTAAGCAAATTGTGCTCTCCGATGGAACTGTGATTCCTAAAGGCGCCAACATGTTCGTCTCTACGAAAACCCTGGAAGATGACAGCATCTACCCTAATGCTGGCACTTATGATGGTTACCGGTTTTACAACAAACGCCAGCAGCCCGGCAACGAACACAAGCACCAATTTGTCGCGACGACAAGTGAGCACTTCGTCTTCGGCCATGGCGTTCACGCCTGCCCTGGTCGGTTCTTTGCTGCCAATGAAACCAAAATTATGTTCCTTCATTTGCTCCTGAAGTACGATTGGAAACTGCAGAGCGGCGGTCGACCTCCGAACATTGAGAATGGTGTCGAGTCTATCACTGACCCACGAGTTCAGATTTTGTTTCGGTCGCGTGAGTCGGAGGTTGACCTAAGTTTCCTAGGAGAGTGAGTATTGGATGGATGTAAGCAGTGTATTGTTTTCCCTTTTTGTTCTATACATATTGGATATCGCTAGGTTTTCTATGATTTAATCACCATGGAAATGATGTTACTTATAAGCGGTGGGACAAGCTAGATTATCGAGTGTCCAATGTCCCCATTTGAATATTATCGAGTCATTTGAAAAAGGTCAAGTCCAAGTCTTCAAGGTGACCAGGCAAGACTCGGCTCCTCGAAAGTGGAGATGATTGGCATCTGGCCCACAGTTCTGCGGGTATTGTGGCTATCCATTGTAAGCGAGATGAGATCTTGTTACTAAATTGGGAATGGATCTCTGAATCGGAGAATTTAGGAACATTCACAGATCTCAATAGATGTTCAACGGTGCATAAATCACACATATACGCCGTGGCAGTAATATCAAGGAAGTCGAGGGTCTCGTTTAGGGTTCAAATATCGACAGAAATACCACGTGACAGGTAAGTTTACAGTATATATACGGTAATTTTCAACAACGTGTGTTGGACGCGTCGCGCGTCAGTGGGGAAGGCTGAACGTGAAGCTTCTCCAACCGCAGCGCCTCCACCAACTCTCCCCCCAATAGGGTTATATGGGTCTTTTGGCTTGTCTCTTTCGTTGGGTCGCTCGGGCTCCAGGGCCCCAGACCGCACAATGAGAAATTGTGACCGCTGATCTACGGTACCCAGGTACCCGTACCAAGATGGTTCGTCTTTTCTTTGAAGGCGACAAACCAATTCACTCTGAAAGGAGACAAAAGAGAAAGGATTTTTACTTTTCAAGGCCCGAGCGACTCTAAGCTGATTGGAAGTCAAAAAAGAAAGAAAAATGAGCTGAAAGGTATCACTGATGTGCAGACGACCATCGGCTGCACTTCTATACGCAGCCTGGCCGTTCTCCGTTCTGTTTGGTACGACATGCAACATACAAGCCCTTGCAGTTATGGTGTGAACGGCTGGAGACGATGTCTTGGATATGGAGCAACGATCTACCATACGGAGTACTCGGCACTGATCCCAAACACCAGCCCCTTCATTTATGAGGTCTACAACGTACAGAGTACAGCCTACAGCTGACAGGCTATACATTGTATCTTTGCAATGAAAAAGAGCAAACAGCGGTCATTCGCTAGGTGTCCTTACCTCCCAAGATGGTTGTCAAAGCCCGGCCAAATTATTCGACGGTGCATGCATCAAGCAAGGCCCTGATATGCCCACCGTTCTATATAGGAAAGACTCAAGAAAATCTAAACAAAGCATAGAGAACAGAATTAGACTTGCAGACTAAAAAGATTTCGAACAACGCATAGGATTTTCGCAGTGGGCCGTTGAACAAGTACAGGGTACCACGTCCAGTAGGCTGTCCACCACGGGGAGCGCAGGTACCAAGTACCCCCCACTGCCGCACGCCTCACCCTACGCCCAATCCCCCATCCTCTTCCTCTTCCTCCTTCTCTCCCTCCCTCTCTTCCTCTCTCTCTTTACCAACCCTTTCCACCATTATCGCGAGATCTTTTCTCGCACGCTTCTTCGTTTGAGGAGACGTTTCTTTCTTTTGTGTGTTATTTTTTTTCGGGTAATGACGAAATCCTTCATTCCCTACTACTCGGACGGGATGGAGCCGCAGATGTGATCTGGTGATCCCCGATTTCAAGTTGCCGCATTCCTCAGGAAGCACACGCACACCGAGACCTCGGTTTTTTTTTTACTTTTACTTTCGCATTACTCCTGTATCTCTTGCTCTCGTTGCATTTTTTCCTTTTTTTCTCCCCTTCACGATTCACGACATTGACGCGACGCTGCGCGCTTCGACTCGAAGCCGCGCCGTACTCATCTACTCTCAACTCCCCCAACACGCCCTCGAATTCTTCCCAGAAGTCGCATTGACCCACTGCGATTCGCAAGATCGCGATATCGCCATCATGCCTCAACGTCAACTTTCACGCACTCTGCCGAAGAACTTTACCTTCTCCCTCGGCGATGAACCCAGGACTCCCGAGCGCCCTCATACCGCAATAAATGTGCCTCCACCACCTCGTCACTCAATCTCCAATGGCCGCCTGCCCAGGGTTCGGGCTCGCGCTGGTACCAATGTTTGCGCTCGCATGGACATGGATATGTTCCACTTCCACGGCTCCGATGTTCCCCTGCCTTCAATTGAAGTCCCTCAATCGACTACTAACTTCGAAGCGCCTTCATTCCGTGGTTTCGCCAACGACGAGGGATATCTTGCGCCTCCTCGCGCGCGAATGGATTTTAAGACGCCACCTGCACAGATCCGCGGCACGCCTTTTGATTCCTACGACACTGGAAACCCGTGGCCTTCGTGGGACCACACTCCTGGCCCAAACAACATCAAGCGCCCAGATTCGGCCTGCTCGACTATGTCAAACTCGTCAATTGAATCCATTGAAACGTTCGCATCGCGACCGTCTGTAGGAAGTTTCACCAGTGTCGAGAGCGATCTGTTTGACTCGTACTTCCCTTTGGAGATGTCCAAAGAACCTGAGATTGAGTCGCCTTCGCGACCTCAGAAGCAGTCGGCGCATGTCAAAGCGTCCAAGAAGTCCTGGACTCGCGATATGGATACCCACTTATGGAATACCTATCAAATCTACCTTCAGGATCCTACTATGACTCCATTTAAGATGACCCCTGGCAGTATCCCCCCTCTGGGAGTTACCTCGCGTGTTGCGCGACGCGCCAAGAAGACATGGGGACAAAAGGGCAGTCGCATTACTGAATCTGTCTCGATGCGGTCTGTTGATCCCGATGAAATTTCTACACCCAAGGCTATGGACGGAGAGTTGGAACGAGCTTGGCCCAAGTCTGACTCTAAGACTCGACGACGCCTCAAGATGCTATGTCGACGCAAATTCTCGATTTCTCCCCACTATCAGCGCATCATGCAGTCTCGCACTCCCGAGCCTGTCGCCGAAATGTTCGGCCCTGCCCCGGATACCCGCGTCAAGAACTTTGCTGATAACTCGGCCTACACTACTCGTGACCTCGGCGTTTCTCTTGTCACCTCCTCCGAGCCCACTCCACTTTCTCGTGTCACACAAGACTTGCCGTCAACGACGGACTGGTTCAACAACCCCGTGTTTGCTCATGTCGAGCCACCAGTAATCAAGACTCCTAGTCAACATCTTCGTGTCGAATCTGCCCCTAGCATCCCTCGTCTTGGATCTCCATTCGTGTACAGCACTTGGGGCCCCGGTGGATCAAACCGCCAGCTCCATGACCCTAATGCTCGACGGGAGACCATCCATGTTCCGGGTTATCGTGCCCGACGTAACACATATTTCGATCAATCTTTGCCCAATCCTGATGATGTATTCGCAAGCGTATCCAGGCAGCAGCAGAATCCTTCCGATCGGGATGTTGAACGTCGCTTGGAGGACTATGTTCGTGACAACAAGTTCCAAGACATGGGCCATGGTCGGGTCCGCGTTCGCAATCGTGGAGCTACCACTAGCGCTGTCAATCCAAGAGATATGGACCAGCTTTTCTCTCCGCCCTCGTCCCTCAACTCAGGCCCAATTGAGCCAGAGGAGACTACACCTGTTTTGAAACCCCCCATGAACCCATTGTTAGACCTTGGCGAAAACATCAAACGCCTTGGCTCACCCTTCCGGGTCGAAGGAGGACATAAGCGTCGCGAAGCCCCGAAGCGAGTCATTAGAGCACCTGCACTGTCTGATCCATTCTCGAGTGGCGGCCCTTCATATGTCGGGCCTCATGACAACACCTCTCCCATGCAGGTTTCTCCGGCTCAAGTCCGAGATAAAGCTCCGGTTCCTTTGCCATACAATGCCTCAGAGGACGGCCTTTCTGATGCTGAGCGAATCCGCCGGCAAATCTTGAATATGCCTTTTACGCGCAACTAAGTTGCAGCCTTTTTTTGCTGTCGAATTTCGAAGTATCCGTTTCATCGTGGCGTCCATTTCTTTGCGAGATTTTATCCCCTTTGCATTATGACTTGAACGAGATACCGACAGGGCCCTGGTACAACCCTTGCATTTCCAGCATTTTTACGACAGCAACACCACCATCCACGACTGTAATGACAAGTTTGATTCACGCTCAACTCCAACGACAAAAAACACCCTAAAAAAAGTGATGGGTCTTTCCGTTTTTCATTTGATCACAACGCGCACACAGTACATCGACATCTGGCTGTTGGTTACCTGCCTACGAACATTGACCTCGTTTGTCTTGTAACAACACCTTGTGTGTAGTTCTGTTTCGCCCCTTTTACTCGAGACCAGCATTTCTCAATGCAGTTTCATCATTCATTCACTCACCTCATTTCCTTTTCTTCCAACGGGGCTCTCACCTCGAACAAAATAACCCAACACCCCAAAAAAGTTGAAAACAACCGAAAACCCATGTCTGCTGTTAATCAGTAACCATTCGCTATTTTCGCGACCCACGTTCCTTACATATTCTCCTTATCTTCTTTTCTCAGACCTTGTCTAGTCGTTCATCCCCTGCATCTCCTACATGGTACAACATGCATCATCCACCATGACATCTTGGAGATGTGGCCGACTTGATAATGGTCGCCTTCCGAATTACCCGTCACACATGGAAACGACTACCTGCATCTATGCTGACCCTTGCCAGTCAACATAGATGGCAATGCACTCCCTCAAAAAAGCGTGCAACGATACATATGCAAGTACATAGACGAACTGAAACGAAACGAACGCGCATGAATATTGCAGTTGACCAACGGCATCCCTGATACGCAAGCGAGGTGTTTGGTTTTCTTTTGCCAGCGATTCCCATTTCTTCTTAATTTGCATCTCATGATCTCAATCTTGAAGCTGATTTCCCCGTGATTTTACTTCTCGCTTGGTGATCCACGATTTACTCCCATGCCCTCGATTCTCGATTTGATTCAGCTCGCACTCCATGATTCCCCTTGTGGCGAGCCTTATTGGGTTTGCATCCGGATAATCGCGTTTCTTTTTCTCCGGTCTTTTTCTTGCCTCTTCTGCGTCTCATGGCGTATGGATGTCTGTCTTTTTTTCTGCTTTTTTAGAGCCCCTTTCTGCTTGATCTTTGTGATCTTCCTCTGGAGCTTGTGAGAGTTTGGCCGTTTTATCTATTCTTCTGCTGATTTATTTTTCTTATGCGAGGGTTGATCTTTTAGAGCAATGGCTTTGTTTGATCGAACTGATCCGCCAATTGAATTATCATCTTATTCCATTTTCATCTATTTTTTCGGTTGTAAGTCACCGATTGCCTGGTAACTTTGTACCTGGGTTCTTGAGCATATCCATTCTTACAAGAAGAGTTAACTAGCTGCACTTCCAGCACGAATTTTCATGTGCATCTTGCAGGCAATTGGCAGCGAATAGACTCCCTTCATTCCTCTATCTCGCTTTCAAGGTATGCTACCAATTGTCCATGCTCTTTCATACTAGGCTTTATCAGCTATAGGTACTAACTAGATAAACTCTAGTTTCGTCTATTTACTCTTGGCTTGTTATACTCGAAGCCACAGGTCAGCAAATAGTATATGACCTGTGAAAGTTTGAACAGAAGCGAGTAGGAACTCAAGATACTCGGACATTCAATGGATAACGTGCCTTAATGCAATGGGGAATCAATATCAGATATTATCTACAGATCAGACAAGCATATGAACAAACAAAAGTAACCAGAATAAGGGCAACAAGCAACAGGTAATATGAGCGGAAATGGGGGTATAAGTTATAAAAGATATCTGCAATGAGGCAATTCAACACAACAAGAAGCGGAACAAAAAAACAAACAAAACAATCAAAATCACTTCTCCAATTTTCTCTTCCGCTCAGCAAGCAGAACCTCAATCTTGCGGATCTGAAGAGCAAGACCCTTCTTCTCGGCATTGGCAAGGAGCCACTCCTCCATGTCTTGACGAATGTGCCGCATGGAATGCAAGACAGGCAGAATAGGCACAGAGGACAGACCGTCATCGACTCCGTTCTCGCGCTCATTACGCTGCCAGCGCTCGGCACCGGGGTTGAGCAAGAGATCGAAGACACCGGCCCAGAGTTCACGATCCCAGTATCGTTTCAGAGACTCGCGGATGCGATAGTTACGGAATGATGGGTTTCCGTCGTTGCCGTCGATAGCGGTGGATTCGATGTATTTGCCGAATAACAGCACGTGGATCACGCCAGCAATACCGTACAGATCGATATGGTAGGTCCAGGGGCGCATCTCGCGGATCTCATTGCACTCGTGCGCACCGGTTTCCCAGTCCGCGATGAATTGCACGGCTGGTGAGAAGGCTTGCATGTCGATGCTGCGGCCGAAGTCGATCAGTGCTAAGCCCTTCTGTCGCCAGCCGTGAGAGCCGCTTGGGGAGTAGTGGATGCTTTCCCGGGGATCGAAATCGGTTTCATCGGCACCAAGGTCGAGCAGGGAAAGGGCCTTGGAGGGAGGTTCGTTGGGATTGTGGTCATCTAGGCGGACGAGGCAGTTGTCGGCTTTGATGTCACCGTGGAGGACGCCGTTGGCGTGGAGTGCTTCGACGGTGCGGAATAGCTCAACGGAGAAGAACATTGCTAAAACCTCCTCGAGACCGCCTTCAGAAGTATGGTTGGAGTTGATGGCTTCATTGCGGACGAGGTTGACGAGGTCGAGTATGGTACCTTGTCCTCGATAGTCCTCCACTAGAAAACTTTCACGTCGGTGGACATGCAATTCGTGCGCGCGAACAATGCTATCGGTGGCTCGAGAATGATCAATGGATTGTCGCAGGCGACTATATGCTGTGCGAATCATATAAAACTCCCACGCGCTTGATGGTCCATTTTCGACCTTGACTGCTTCGAAGGGGAATCGGGGAGTCTCATAAGCGTTCGAGTTTCTCCGTCGGGAATTTTTGCTGCTAGGGCTTGTACCATCATCGGAGTCAGAGTCATAGGATTCAAGACTGTCAACACTTTCGGCGAGATAGACAGGCGCATATGCACCGGCTCCTAGCTCACGTCTAATAATGTAGCTTCGCTCCGCTCCTGGAAATTCGAGGATAGGCGTGTCAAATGCACCATCCCCACCACTCTTTGATCGCCTGGTGTTCGTTTTGACGAATTTCTGGATCATCGAAGCATAGTTGCTATCTTCAACGTGACCGTGATAGCCCGTGTACGTCGCAAGTGGCTTTTCCAGGGAATTGAGAATCGTGTTGCGAATACCCTTGTCAGTCGGATTGCACTGCACATCCCTGATTATCGGTTCCCGTCTCCGGAGCTTAGGCGCGAGGGCCTTGAAGGCCATGGGACTGAATGGTACATCGGCTGTAGACGCAATAGTATGATCTTCTTCGTATGGCGTTTCTGTCCCCACTAGACTAGAATCAAACAAGTTACCGGCCGGTGATCGTGGCTTCGAAGGCGTTTTCGCGTTATAAATGCTGTTTCGAGCGGCTGTCAAAGAAGGAATGGATTCCGTTCGCTCCACGATAGGTGTCATAAAGGGAAGGCGATTTTGGGCCATAATTGCAGGGTCACGGTAGGTACCCCATGGAGGAGCATAATCCTCGGGCATTTCTGGAATGAATCCTTTCCTCTCTGGTGTTCCTTGTGTCGAGCTACCTTCCGGTCCATCACTAACGACAGAATGTGAGGTGACTTCATAATTTTCAATATCTGGGATATCACGGTCTGGGTTGAACTCCGTCCAATCGCTTCCATCGCCATCAACGCTCTCAGCTCGTGTGGTGTTGCCATAGTCGGTGTCATCGTAGGATTTGTGGAATGTTTGTGTCTCCTCGTCTCCAAAGTCGCTTGAGGCCGCTGATATGTGCCCTGTGCATGTACTATCTCCATTACTGGCGCAGTCGTCATCTTCGTAATCGCTACCGCAGAAGCTATCTGCGTCTGCTTCAGTCTCTGCCTTCAATGGTTGATTGAAGATGCTATAGATCTCATCCGTCGCTGCACGAGTGTGCATGGTCATTGTCGGTTCCCGAGTACTCTTTCGCCGCACCTTTTTATTATTGGTCGGGGAGTCAAACTTCATTTTCACTGCACATATGTGAGTTTATTCTGCCCAAATAATGACAAACCGATAGCACTTACCTGTTTGTGTCTGTGTTGTTTCCCCTTTAATCTTGGTGCGACTCGCTTTGGGTTTGCCCCCATGGCCTTCATGTTGATAATGAGAATGACCGTGACTAGATGTAGTAAGATTCTGGCCTAAATGCTCCGGCAAGTCCTCTGGTGAATGAGATTTCCCTAGCAGGGACTCAGCACTGCTTGCGTTCCCAGAGATCTGTTGCAAGGGTTCTTTTTGTTGCCGCCAATTCTTGCCCATCCAACCACGCTTGATAGCCCTGAGCTCTTCAAAGCTCATCTCATGTGCAGGGTTGGTGCGGTCAGGGTATACGGATTCCAGGTCGACAAATACACGTTCCCGTCGGCCGCTTCGGGGGTTAATCGCTTCCCTTACGTGATGTTCGGGTACTTTTTTGGGTGGAATTGGTTCTTTGAAAGGAAGATCTAGATTGGACTGAATACATAATAAAACACCATAGGTTCATGCCAGCAATTAGTCCTGTGATCGTAAATATGTGGAGGTCTGAAGAGGGAAAGGGTAACTTGGAATGGGAACTCACCTCGTCCCTGAAGATGGCCATCTTTTGTGTTGGCGCTGCTTTCTTCCCAACCTTCAGTGTTTCTCCTGCCCATGGCTTTGGCTCCACTTCGTTCTCCTTCTTGCGGTCCCGAATCGATCCAATGCTGTCCCATCCCTTTGTCGACCCACCAGTTGCGGGACCAGGCGCAGCAGAGTCAGCGTCTGAGAAAATAGCCATCTTAGGCTTTCCGGACTTGGTTTTCGCGGTACCGCCCGTCTGAGGCGAGGGCCGTGAAGCTTGTGGACCAGCAGGGGGATCTGATGGCGCGAACGGGTTCATCTTGGCGGCCAGCGCGGGACGGACAGTCGGCAAAGCAGGCGACGAGGGCCCGGTATCTTGTTGGCGCTGGTCGTATCGGAATTGAAACTCGCTGTACTTGCGTGCCAATCTCTCAACTGGTCGCGCCTCACGGTCTATACCGAGCCTGTACACTTCATCGGCTTGTGACCACCGACCAGCACCCTCCAGCCACCCGGAAAATTCCTCATAGAAAAGGGCCAGACTTTCACCAATTTGATGACGTGCAAGGAAGGCAAATGTTTCGCGCGGGGCATCGGAGAAGAGTCGCACATAATGGAGCCATAATCGTAGATACCGAGGGTCGTTTCTGTAGTGTGATGATGAGAGGAATGACTTCGTTGCCCGTTCCAATAGGGGGAGAAGACCGGATTCGGTGGTCGCTTGTGCGGACGGATACGCGTTCAGAGTCCATTTGACATAACGGTCATAAACATCGAGCGGATCGTCCGATTCTCCTATCGACTGCAATTCACT